TGGGGGAACAGAACCTTCGCCTTCTGGCAAAGGTGATCTCTCTCTGGTTCCCGTGGCTCTGCATCAGAAGGGAACCCTGCCTGCTCTGTGCACATCCTCTTTACAGGTATTTAATGAGATTTGGGAATCTCAGTGATGAGCAAAGAATGTCCCTTGTCCGGATACTTGGAGAGACAGAGATCATTGATCGTACTTATGGGAATATTGTTCCTCATGGATAGACAAGTTCTGGAGGAAGTAACAGTTCCGTGAGGGCTTAACAGAGAAGGAACTGTCTGTTGGTGGAGGTGGGGTCCACGAAAGGAGAGCTTTTCCTAGGAAGTGACATTAGGGCCGATAATGAAGTTTGAGGAGGTAACTAGGGGAAGAAGAGGAAGAACTTCTCAGGCACAGGGAACAGTGCAAAGGCCCTGAGGCAGAGAAGCACTGAGAGGAACCAGTGTGGCTGAAGGGGAAGCCAGGTGCTAAGTGATTTAAGAGAAGGTTGTGGAGTCCCAAAGACCCAGACCAGATTGCACTTCCAAGGCTGGATCTTCAACCTGGAATGCCAGGACACTGGGTATATATGAAGGCTTCCTGAGTCATGGGAGACCCTCAATTTACACGATCAGGCTGAGATGGACCCAGGTGGAGGCAGGAGGGTACTCCTCTATCACCTCCTCTTTCAACCGTCTCCTGTCTCCCGCTGGCTCACCTCTCACCCCACCTGATTCTTACCACCTTACTGTATTACATTGTCCTGCGGCGTAAGAATGTCCGTCCGGAAGCAACGTTAGCGTCTGTTTTATCAAAGGCTCCAAAAACCCCCACCCAACCATCTCACTCAGTCATGCATTTTCATTACATTTTTCCTTATTATGTTTAATAATTACCAAAATTCATATGTGCATGATGCCTTCATCATTTATATACTAATAATGATTGTTATGATAACATGACATTAAAGGCGATTTGAAAAATGAGAAACTTATGGCCATCAAAATATTTTTAAACTTTTTTAAATTTGAGAGTGCATGCGAGCAGGGGAGAGAGGCAGAAGGGGAGAGAGAGAGAGGGAGAGAGAGAGGGCGAATCTTAAGCAGGCTCTGTGCTCAGACCCCAGCCTGATGCAGGGCTCGATCCCACGACCCTGGGATCATGATCTGAGCTGAAATCAAGAGTCTGACACTCAACTGACTGAGCGACCCCGGCGCCCCCCCACAAACTTTTTAAAGCTAATGCATATTCATAATTTGTTACAGTTCATTTAATAGACAAGGTAGTGAATTAAGATGTTAAGTGATAAAATCATTACAGTTGGATAAAATTCTGTTGAAATGGAATGAAATATTTGAAGGCATAAAGAATATAATGTAAATTTTTTGACTGTTGAAGGAAACTTCATTGTATTTAAAAAAAATTTTTTTTCAACGTTTATTTACTTTTGGGACAGAGAGAGACAGAGCATGAACGGGGGAGGGGCAGAGAGAGAGGGAGACACAGAATCGGAAACAGGCTCCAGGTTCCGAGCCATCAGCCCAGAGCCCGACGCGGGGCTCAAACCCACAGACCGCGAGATCGTGACCTGGCTGAAGTCGGACGCTTAACCGACTGCGCCATCCAGGCGCCCCGTGTATTTTTAAGTATAAAAGGTGGTTTTTGCATCCGTGCACCATTTACGCTTTATCGGGTACATTTAATTTTGTTTAATGTTTGTTTATTTTTGAGAGACAAAGAGAGCACAAGCAGGGGAGGGGCAGAGAGAGAGGGAGACACAAAATCTGAAGCAGAATCCGAAGCAGGCTCCAGGCCCTGAGCTGTCAGCCCAGGGCCCGAGGTGGGGCTCAAACCCACGAACTGTGCGTGAGATCGTGACCTGAGCCGAAGTCGGACGCTAGACCGACCGAACCACCCAGGCGCCCCTTCCATCTGGTACATTTAAATGAGAGTTACGATGGTTTATAAGGTCAATATATACAATATAACCCAAACCATTTAAATTTATTAAAAAAAAAACATTTTAGATTCCAACTCAGATATGTGGTGGGGCATACATATTTTTAGAGGATTCTTTCGTGGGTATCCACAAAAAGTTTGGAGACCCTGTTGTGGGCCTTGGTGTTGCAGGTGTGGTGGCGAAGATCAAAGGGAGGAAACACAGACAGTAGCATTTTCCCCAGTGCCAGATGCCTCCAGCCAGCCGGGCGGGAGTCGGTGTGCCCTCCTGTGTTCTCCTGTGTGGACAACACTGCCAGCGGAAGGTACAGGCACCCCCAGAACAGCGATTTTCCTCGCTTACACCATTAATGTCTCCCCAGCATCAACCATAGTGCCTGGCACGTAGTAAGTGCTCAATAAATACTTATCGGATGCGTGAATGGCAGACGCACCAAGCTCTCCCTTTGTGCGGGGCCCTGCGTTCAGGGATTCCCATTTAATCTTCACCACACCCCTGCACCCGGCCCAGTTAGTGTCCCCATTTTAAAGATGGGGAAACCGAGGCACAGAGAAGATAAATAACTTGCCCAAGGCCACCTATCAGGGAAGTAGCAGAATGGGAGCCGGGCATCCTTGTCAGAGCCCTTAACCGTGACACCTCAGATTCTCCGGGCTCTGCAACTCCGGCGCTTTCCTGAGTGTGATACTCCATGAGCGTGATACCCTTCACAGCCATCTCGGCGGCTCCCTGCCATCTGCTCTCTCCTCCTAAGTGGTTTTCCTTCTCTCTCTGTTTAATATTTAAGGTGACACATCCTGGGACATCCCGGAGTCCCCATGTTACTGACCTACTTACTTATCCAACCATCTTTCTCACACATCAGGGGCAGCGGTGGGAAGCATGGGGGGCGCGCGGAAGGGAGGAGGGGAGAGGGCGGGGAGCACCACTCAGCACCCTCTGCTGTGAGCAGCCTCCAGCTGACAAGAAGCCAAGATTAATAAAACAAGGCTGGGCTCCGCTGCTAGGAGGCCGCAGCAGGGTAACATCGATTCGAAGTGGCTTTCCAGGGAAACGGCTCCGGTCCCTCCCACCCCCTAGAAGGACCTCCAAAGGTCCAGCTACGTCAGGGGGACATCTGTTTGTTTCTCAAAGGTGGGTTCTTACCCCCCAGCAGGCACCGTACCTGTCTTGACCAGACTCCGTGGGCACCGTGCACAGCAGAGGACTGCAGCACACAGGGTCTGGGCCAGCTGCCTCCTCAGTCCTTTTACTGAGAGGCCTCGCACTTTCCTGGTCTCTAGTGTCCTCTGTCCAGGGTGACATACTCCTGGTGGCCCCAGAGGCCCAGGCCTGCTGCTCCTACTTCCTGAGTCCTAGGCTCCAGGGCCTGGTCTTCACATCCTCCCAGTGGGGGGTGGGCTGGGGGGCAGTGACACTGAGAGGTGTCCCCTTTCTTCCCGTTTCCACATCTCCTACTCGAGGGTACCCAAAGGCTCACAGTGACACCCTGCATCCTGCTCCAGGGGTGGGCGAGCGCCGGAGCCGCGGGGTGCTGAGTGGCTTCCCTCCCAGAGATCTGTCCCTGGCTCCCAACACCCTCTGACCCCCTTCCCTGGCACTCTCATCCATCAGCCTTCAGGTCCTCACGGCCAAGCTCAGGGGCACGAGGCTCAAAGAGCAGCTGCAGCCAGCCCCTACCTGGGACCAGGTGAAAGCACTCATCCCCGACTCCTCATCTTGGCCACTGACCTTAACCCCAGGACTCTTGACGTCCCGCTGTGGGGGCCCTGACTTCTTCCCTTGGCGCCCCC